TGTTTTTTTTGTACCTTTATTTACAGAAGAATGTTCAAGGCACCAAGTCAGAAGTTCTTCACCACAAACATCCCCTTCGGATAAAGGGACCACGATCAAATCTTCGCCTATGCTCTCCATTTTTCCTCGGATTATAAACACCATTTTATCCACTAGACCACCTCGACATAAGATTTTACTGCCTTTGATATATGTTTTCGTTCGTAGCCTCTCACACATAGCATCGATAATAGGTTCATCCAGGAGTTGGAAAATACGGACCTGTCGAAACAAAATAAAATAAAATAAAATCGTCATATACCAGCAACTACCTATTACTATCTATCTTGGTAAAAAAACACTCTGATAAATAAACCTTACTTTCTTGAGGAATTTAAAAAGATGGCGTCGTATTTCTCTTTGAAGGTCTTCTGGTAAATTTTCCATTAGCATATCTTCGTTTACTCCTCTAGTGGCTGCCCAATTAAAGCGTTCCGAGTCTCGAACTTGCCTGCAAATTAACGAGCAATTAATTAGCAGCGTAATATTTTTTTTTCTTTCTAAGCACATTCAACTGAACAAAATAAAAGACACGAAACATCAAAAGAAGGATACTTTCTAAGAGCTTCAGGCAATCGACGATGGCTCATCCACTGCTCGACATCACGTCGTCTCATAGACATTTCAAACTTCCTGAAAGAAAATAATAATAATAATAATAATATAACCATTAGACCCTGCAAAAGTTAAGGTTTGGTTCTTTGAGAATGTATGTAAGAACAATTGAAAACGGAGTGAAATGTAAGAGATATATCAAGAAAATTTAACGCGAAATGTGATATTAAAATTATTACCTGCGCCCAAGAGCTTGGAGAAAATTTTGCATATTCCCAATCAACAGAGCAAAAAGCAAGAGACCCGTGCCTATGATGACCATGGTAAAAAGAACTTCCCCCACAAAATAGCTCGGAACTTGATTTCCAGCTAAGGTACTAATTTGCTATAACACAAAACGGAACATTGCTTAAAGGAAAAAGAACGGAATTAAGATTAGTATTCCAAACACTAATTGGTACCCAAATAGGCTAGCTATAAGCTGATAAACTTCTTGTATTCAAATAAACTTCGTTTGGTATGACGAGCTTTTTTAAAAAGCTCGAGCTTATCCTAAGAAGGTAGCTTTTCAAATAAACTCGTTGAAATTTTTATTTCAGCTAGCTTATCAGCAAATTTTACCAAACATTTACCATATAAGCTTTTCAGTTATAAATCACATAAGCAATAAGTTATAAGCTTGAAAATCGCTTATAAGGTATACAACTAGTTTTACCAAACATAGCCTAACAAAGATGAACTCATACTTGAAAACAAATAAATGTACCTGAAATCCCCAAAACAACGAGTAGATGTATCGTGTAACTATACTTCTGTGTGTGGTAAGATTGACTGCACTTTGATATATTCCATAATCGAAACCGTCTCGACTAAAACAAGCCGTCGCATTTGGATTGTTTTTCCACAATTCCCATGTCAAGTCCCGTCCGAACCTCTCTTGACTGTCCCCGTGCCCACAATCGAGAAAATCCATACACTTTTTGATAGAGCTATCATTACACGCGTCTCGAAAGCATTGGTTCACCCTCTAACATGCGCAAGTAAAAGTTCAATGATAATCAACAAAAAATCGAGGAATCTTGATATATCAAAAACAAGATTTAAGCATATAAGCACACAAATGAGATTGAGAAGAAAAATTCATAAT